TACCGTATTTTTCCGTCTATAAGACGCCCCCATGTATAAGACGCCCCCAACTTTTCTTACCCAAAATTCAGAAATCAATATTTTAAATGATATTATGCATCACACTTACCTCTGAGCCAATCACTTTATTCAGCCTCTGTTGCATCACTGGTTTCTTCATCACTTTTAGCTTCAAACATATCAGTTTCTTCAACTTCTGCTGCATCACTGCTGTCTGCTGAGTCACTGTCTATATATACAAGATCATCCTCAGTTCCGTCCCTGGCATTGCTGATTCCACATTTCTTGAAGGACTTCACAATCACCTCTTGTTTGACACCATACCATGAGTTTAGAGAGTTTACAGGTTGTTTTTCACTTTCCGAAATTTTTATGGTCACAGAATGCTCCGACATTACGGCTCTGGGCACTGCCTACACGATCTCCCCAGCAACAGCTCACGTCAGGTTCAAAAGATTTATGACTGGAGGAGAACTGTTATCTTGTCTCTGTAATCCGTGAGGCTAGTTTGCAGTGGTATCAGCACTTTCAAAACCGCGGCCCCCGTGTATAAGACGCAGCTCTATTTTTAGATAAAGATTTTTATGAAAAAGTAGCGTCTTATACACAGAAAAATACGGCTCAAGCAAGAGTCTGGACTAGGACCAAATATCACCCAAACCATCCTCTCCGTTCCTCTCAAGACCTCCTGCTCTCTAGCTCTCTCATTACCTCCTCGCATGCTCACCTCCATGACTTCTCCAGAGTGTCCCCCATCCTCTGGAACTCCTTACCCCAATCTGTCCGCCTATCTCCTAAGCTGCCCACCTTTAGGCGATCCTTAAAAACCCATCTCTTCAGGGAAGCCTACCTCATCTCAGCATAACTGCCTTTTACTTCCTCCAATAACTTAATCCAAACAATGATTACCTTTTGTATCACTTGCCCCTCCATCTAGATTGCAAGCTCTCACGAGCAGGGCCCTCCCAACCTTATTGTTCTGAAACTGTATTGTACTGTAAATTGTATTGTAACTGTACTGTCTCCACAATCTTGTAAAGCGCTGAGCAAATTGTTGGCGCTATATAAATCCTGTATAATAATAAAATAATAATAGGCCCAAGTTAGAGCATCACAAATACTTCTTATATCAGTCACAATGGTACATTAGAATGTGTGTAGGACCTTTTGACTTCCTTCTTTGAAGACTTAAGATATGGTTGGATTCCCTAGACTTCATTGTCAAAGCCAGTCTACATAATGCAGCCTAAACAAAAATTTCAAATATGTACCCAAGCAAGAGTCTGGTCTAGGCTCAAGCTAAAGCATCACAGATGGTTTTTACATTCCACACAATGGTACATTAGAATGTATGTAGGACCTTTGACTTACCTCCTTCCTTAAAGACTTGAGATATGGCTGGATTCATTGGCCTTCTTTGTTGAAGCCAGCAAACATATAATGAAGCCTAGATTTAAAGAAGAAAGAGAAGTATAGGGGTTTGTGGAGGGGTGTAAATGACCGTCCATTAAGGATTTTTTTTCAAAAAATATGTAAATTATATCATGTTATGTATGAATACTTGGATATTTAGAGTTATATATTCTATCAGTGAATATACAAACATATCCCATGCAGGGTTTTGTTTGGACTTATGAATGTATCATTTTTAATATTAGTTAAACCACAAAATAAATTTTGATATTTTTAGTATATCTCTCATGGACGGTCATTTACACCCCTCCACAAACCCCTATACTTCTCTTTCTTCTTTAAATCTATTAAATCTAGGGGGAAAGGTGTAAACTAGGTGCCCACAGGGAGACAACCCATGATTTACAAAATATAATGAAGCCTAATAATAATTTAAAATATGTACCCAAGGAAGCATCTGGACTAGGACCAAGGTACAGCCTCACAGATGGTCCTTACATCAGGCACAATGATACATTAGAATGTGTGTAGGACCCTTGACGTCCTTCCTTGAAGACAAGATATATGGTTGGCATCATTGGCCTTCATTATTAAAGCCAGTCTACATAATGCAGCCTAAACAATCATTTCAAATATGTACCCAAGGAAGAGTCTGGCCTAGACTCAGGCTAGAGCATCACAGATGGCTCTTATATCAGTCACAGTAATACATTAGAATGTCTGTAGGACAGTTGACTTCCTTCCTTGAAGACATGATATATGGTTGGATGCATTGGCCTTCAATGTTGAAGCCAGCAAACATATGATGCAGCCTAAAAATTATTTCAAATACATACCCAAGCAAGAGTCTGGATTAGGCCCAGGCTAGAGAATAGCAAATGGTTCTTATATTAGGCACAATGATACATTAGAATGCATGTAGGACTCCTAACTTCCTTCCTTGAGGACAGGAGATACAGTCAGCTTCATTAATCTGAACTTTCCCAATTCTACCAGAACGTGTGTATTATTCCTAGCTATGTCCCAGTCAGGGTATGTTTACTTCCTGTTCTGTCTGACATCCATCAAATAGACTGGAAGTGGGGAGATGGACAACAATAAAAAGTTGACAGAGTTGGTAACCCTTCCATCCATCAAAAAAAATATTTTTGCTGGAATTAGGCCTTAAAGAGAATCTTTAATGAGTGTCAGGATACCGTGTACGGGTGTCCCAACACCACATGCAGGTATCTCTACAGGGGAACCAAATATGTGACCAAACTTCAGATACCAAACAATTCCTGTGAACTATAGTTTATTAGAAAAACAACACAAACACATGCAACCCCACCACCACCCACAAGTAACATATGAGAGCTAACGATATACAAACGACAAATCAGAGATAACAGGGCTGGGTATGACCTGGAGAGCAGGGCAACAAGAGGAGAGCCGGGAGCCACAGATCAGTGGGCCTCAGGAGTAAGAGTCGGGAGTCAGGTCAGAGTCAGGGTCCAAGGAAGGAACAGAGGCGGGAACAGGAACCAGGATACAGGTAGGGAAACAAAACTGAGGCACAGGCTTCACTATGAGAAGGGACTAAATACCTTCCCAGACCAGCACCAGGTGGTGACTAATTGCTGATAGCTGGGAGACACCCGCAGGTGAGCACCGGAAC